CTCACCTCCTATCTCCTCCAACACGCCTACCTCTCACCCCGCGCCACATACTACGCCCATCTCAACCTCATGGTCTTCCGCCTCCTGATCGAGGATCCCACAATCTGCAAGCGTATCTGCAGCGATGAATCCCGTGTCGCAGTCCGTCTGTGTCGACAACGGCAGCCTTACCTCCCTCTCGTCAAAGGCGAGCGAGTTCTCGCCATTTCACTTCTTGACACTATGATTGACGGTGTGAATCATAATCTCCGTCGTCGTCTCGATGTCAGTCTTTACACACTCTGCTTTGGCATCATGCTTCGCATTATCTCATATCTCTCTCGTACGCGCACACGGCTAGAGTATCATTGGCCTGAGTTCTTCCGGTCTTTGCTCTCCATCGTTCGCTTCCTAGCTACATACACAGCCGATCTGAAGGATCTACCACATATCGACACCCTTCTCGACCACGTTGTTAACCTCATCGCCCTATCCCTCTCCGCCGGTGAAGCCTTCCTCCCCTCGCCAGCAGACTACGATGATCTGTTCTACAAAGTCGTTGAGTCTGGTGAAGTTCTCACCAAGTTCAAAGAGAACTACCGCCTGGGTAACCGTAACAGCAACTCCATTGATACACTCATCAATGTTAGTGCGCATTACAACCAGATGCTTTCAGAAGGTGGTGCGAATCGTCGTAAGCCTAGTCTTTTGACAACGCAGGAGGTCACGGAGGTAATTCGTCAGGGCTACGAGACGTTGAGTATTCAGGCGAAGGAGGGACTGGATTCATGGGAGAGGTACCGGGAGGCGGATGAGAGGACGTTGCTCAAGAAGATGGCGAGAGCGGCTGTTGGTGATGTGCGAGTTATGGTTGAGCGGTAGATTGTATAGGTAGTCTAATGTCATCATGAGACGGTGCAGACTGAACTGCTTTCCCGGCTGTGATCCGTCCACTGTGATCTGTCCAACTACCCTATTCCTATTGTCATTGACTGAAAGCTTTTCTACTGAACAATATCTCATAGATAAGCAAACCATAACTTCATCCTGAGTCTTAAAAGCCACTATCAACTCCAACTCAAGTCTCAGCACTTAACCGAGTCATGCCAACTCCCATGACTCTTCAAGAACCTCATAGCCTCAACCTCTCCTCTCCTCTCTCATGACCCATCTCTCCAAGCATCTTCCCTATCGACACTTCATTACGAACACGCAACGCACAATCTCATAGAACCCTGATCCTTCAAACGACATTGCGCAGAAGCTCGGCTAGTTCGGCTGGTCTCCACGCAGCGTCGCAGCACTTAATATGTAGTATCTCGAGCTTTGTCCATCTACTGAGCCTCCACCCAACTCACTCACTAGCCATTTCAAGATAGCAGATCGCAGTTCGTTCATTCGAGTCCATCGCGACCCAATCTCTTGGTAAATGGAATCGAGATTATCTTGCATTGGCAGACTGATCATGTGCCGAGGCCTAGTCTAGTCTCTCTGGCTGCTGGCTTGAATTATTACGTCTTATGATAGACAGAATTAGTTAGTTAGTTAGTTGTTAGCTGCGACTCTTGTCAAACCGGATTCTCAATTGCTCAAACAGTTAACTCATCTGTCTTGAAACACGTCGAGTCATCGTAAAGCCAGACTAAGTCCATAGTTACATAGCACGAACCACAAAACACAATCAAGTCCGCTCGTCCCGCCGCAGGCGAGAGTTGAGAAGTGTCGCACTAAGCCTCTTGACAGGAGACAAGGGTACCTATGTAACCACGTGGACGGGACAGATGAAGAAAAAAGGCCCTTCCTTGTAGGCCTCACTAATGCAATGCAATGCAATGCAATGCAGCAATGAACTGGAGAATTTGGTGAAGCTGATACAGATATAGATACAATTCCTCCCCAAAAGATGAGATGAGATAGGCTCATCAGAATTGTACAGTACCACCAACAATGTAACCATGTTTTAAGGTATGTATGTACATCCATACATGGTTATAACTAGAGGGGAGAACATGGGCAGTTTCGCGGTATTGGTATCACGGGGACGCCGTTGATCCCTGGGTACTCTTGGATCCGGTTCCGAGGGGAGGGGAGGGTGTGTGCGATGTGATATCTCATCTTTTCTCCCTCTCTTGGTGAATTGGTTGATTCCGACAACATGGTGACGAGACGAGGCTCCCATGCTTGGCTCGTTACTTGGTGCCACAGGCTTGACTACCCGGGATCCTTGAGTGAGTCTAGCTTGGCTCTACTCGATCCACGAGGGTTCTCAGTCTCTCATCTCGTCTGATGATCGGCTCTTGTCAAGCTAGAATCGTCATCATCGTCGTCGTGACTGAACTGAACTGAACTTGAAACCATTCTCTTTCGTCAATCATCGGTCATATCCTTTGCCGAAGTTCAGCTCCAATTCGTTGTCTGAACAATTCAAACAATGTCTCAGACCATCCCGAAGCGGCGTTCCGTTTCTCGCAAGTTAGAGTCTATGCACGTCTGATGCAGAAAGGGCTTATCCGTTAGCACTGCTGCGTTACCATTGCTACTGGTAAAAAGCAAAAGTTCTTTGATGTTCAGGGTCCTCTTTCGAGCCCAATGAACCCAATCTGTCCCGCGTTATAGCACTAAGTGGCCCTATTTGAGCGATCTATCCTACTGTAACCTCAGCGTTCCCAATTCGAGAGCTTCACCAAGTCGATCATCATGTAACAGGCGGGGTGAGGTGTGTGTGGTGTAATTTACCAGACCAGGCAACACTTATCGTATCCCCTGTCCATTATAATATAATCCTCGTCGCGGCAAGGTAACCTAACGTAAATGAATGGGGAAGCGGTCGAGACGGTTGTAGTTGGTGAACCGAAGAAGCTATGCCCAACATGGTACGACCTCTGGCTGGAATTGGTCCGGATTGAACGGTTAGATTCCCGCCAGCTTTGACAGGCCCGCAGAGGCAAAGGCAAAAGAACAACTGAAGTGAAGCTACCGTAGGATTTGAGGACGAGGACAGGGACAAGGCTGGCCTCGCTCGGCGCTTTTGAGTTGGACTTGAACGAGAACCAAGGCGGGGATGGCACAGATCGCCAAAGAGCTCTTGTTGAGTTGACATTCGGTCAACCAAGTTTGTTAGAGTTGGAGAGGATCACAGTCGAGAATCAATTCATGTCGCATTCGACATGCTTCAATTGTCAAGCACGTGTCGTTGTTGTTACAACGCTAGAACGCTATTATGTATGTATGTTCAGCGAGTCAGTTATCGACCCCAATACTCATCTGCCGAGGCATTTATTCTCTCAAGAGTCAATGGATTTGTTGTCTCATTTCATCTTGTCTCTCGTCTCGCCTTACTTTTGGTGCCTCAATTCAGATGCCCCCTCCAAGTAGAGTAGAGTAGGGCCGTGTTGCGTCCGGGGTGCTGCAACGGTCAGGATGAGGCGTTTCTAGCGCCGGCATGTCTCTCTCTTCTGCTTCCTGGAACTTCAGAGTCGCACCAATCAATCTAGGGGACAATTGACCCAGCGATCCATTGTAAAGTAAGCATACGAAGCCAAGGAACGGGGCCTCGAAGGTGATTGTGATAGATAACAAATATTTGTACTTTTGGTTGTTGTTACTGCTATGTACTCCGTATGTGAGATCAATACGCACAATAGCCTGAAGCCAGTCTCAATCTCGTGGCTTAGCTGAAATGACGGACTAAACCTGGCTGCAGTTAGCATAGAATGCAAGTCAATTGTATGTGTGATACGATAGGGTCAATCAATAACCGCTGTGCTATACTCTGCAGTGCGATGTGATAGACGTACAGCCTATAGGGCCTCATCACTTTTTGCCTCCCATTGCTGTAGCTTACATGATATTCCATCAGTCATGCATATGCCTCATCTCCACACCGGAGAGGCGCAATTGCTGTATGTAATCGAGGCACAACAGAGCATGCACACGTAATGCAACTGGCGGAGCATCCATCCATCGTGTTGAGTAGATAGGCACATGTACATGTCTCGATCGAGCATCATGTTTGTGACATGACACTACCAGAGTCAACTGAACTGGTTTGACTCGCCTTCAAGGATGATGCTTCCAGTGTTTGAATCGCACGGCAGCCGATATCTTTCCCCATGTGTCAGATGACGTGATGCTGCTACTGAAACAAACGAGAGTTGGGATATCCTGGCTGATCATTGAAGAACCCGTACCCAAACTGACTCGGAATTCCCACGAGGATTCTCAGCATCAAGAAAGGAAAAGATCCGAGGTGGGGTATCTAGCTCTTCTCTGTCTCCATCCCCATCTCCAACTGCCAAGCATTCGATACGACGCAATGCGATGTGATGCAGGGAAATCCTCTCTTACCTGAGGCCATTCCCGCCTTTTCCCATGTTCCCCAGTTTATCAAACTCATGGGGAAATGCCACCTCATTCTCTCTTTGGTCTGCTTGACTCCTCTCTGTCGATCCCTCCCTCCGCCATCAGAGTCACTCATATCATATCATATCCCCTCAGTTCAAACTTCACATGCACACGGTGGCATTGAGAAAGTGACACCTCCCCTGCATCCACACATCAATGCAGGAACCCGACCTGGCATGCACCAATGAGCTCAATATTTGTCTGTTAGTCCAACATTGTCTCATTCTCTTACCCCGGGGGGGGGAACGCGCTTGACGCGTACAGGCGCGGGGATTCTTTTGGATCATGATTCCTCCACCGCAAGAGTCCTTCGTGTCATGGCAGCAACTGCATCAAGACAAGACTTAGCGTGCATTGTCCAGCTGCGAGGCCGTTGGATGTCTTGACAGTAGAACGGTCCGCGCGTCTCCCTTGCGTCTCTGGTAAAGATACCCCACGTGGAGACACAACCGTCAGTCGCAAAAAGGAATAAATATGCGTACAGCATGGTATAGCACAAAATCCTTGCACCTTGCCATTTTGCACATGGCCCTGGCCGTCTTACAGTAGCGATGTAGCATTGAAGAGTCACACTGGTCGGTGCGTTCCTCCGTAGAACCTTGATCCTGGTGTTGATAATGGTGCTCAACAGTCCAGTGAGTGTTGTAGGTTCTGGAGATTGTATGTAAGGGAGTCAGTGACAGGTAACTGGATTGGATGATCATGACTGACACTTGCAGATCAATATAGAGTCATCGCCAATCGGTCCTGATGGTAATCGGGGTTGCGATCGTCAGATTGACCGACTCAGAAGCATTCTTTTGCGTAATTATGCACTGTGACAAGGGAAATTTGGATTCGCAGTCATCGTCACCTTGCAACCAAGGTACGCTCCTACTGTACTCCTCATAGAATGGTCAGCAGTACTCCATACATCGTATGACAGCAATTACATCAATCATACGCTGTGTCGTGCACTCTAATTGTTCCTTGACCGTTTTTCTTTGAGTGCAACACCACGAGCCGACAAAGTTCGGGCGTTGTATCCAATACTCCAGGGTAGTTAATGGCTGAGTGACAACCATTCTCATTTGTCAATTTGGAAAGAGAATTTCGAGTATTGCTGCGACGTCGAAGACCAAAACTCGAAAGATTTGCTCATGATACATCGCGATGATTTCACTGCGTACAGGATCAAGTATGTGGCGGAGAGCTTCCAAGACTGTAATTTCAGGACTGATCGTGATGATCATCAACGTGACGGCTCCAAGATCCAAGACTCTTACCGAGGGGACGAGGCCCAGTAGAGCGGTTAGACTAAAAGCCCAACTCGGGACATTTTTCACCTGAAAATTACGGTACAACATATGAGAGGCTGTACAGAGCAACATCGTCTGGGGTTGGATCCACTTGGGCGACGAGCATCGGCCATAAAATCGATGCTATTGCCAATCTTGCCCCAAAGTTGCTGTGCGGGGATTGCTTTGAAGACAATTGCTAAGCACAGCGAGAGTCGATCATGGTGAGCTTTCAAAAGTCACCGAATCTCGGAACGTAGCTCGGGTAGTCAACATCTACGCCCGCTCTGATACAGGCGCGTGCAGAGACAGCTTCATAGCCCGGTCCAGAAAGTTCCTCAAACGTTTTGTGAGCCTTCATGACTGGTCAACTAAGTTCACAATACTATGATATTCCAACATCACCTCATTATGAACTGATACCAGTCTTAAGGTGCCCGAGCCAAACTCGAAGGAGCTTGGCTTTCTGAGTGTAGCTTCCGAACAGCCCATCTCATTTCGGGAAATTTAAGCAGGGAACTTTCAGCACCAGAGCTGCCTCTTTCTTATCCTTAGCTAACAACCTCCAACAGTCTGGGTAGGCCGGTAGGATCGACGCATTGCATACAGAGTATTATGGTGTGTGTTGAGGCGGGAAGAATTCCGCTTTCTTCGTACGATACTTTGTAACGTGGTTCTTGACTCTCAAACGCTGGCCGACTTTTCGCGTCTTTCCGGTCGGTCACGCTACTGCCGGAACTCGAAGGCGTCAACTATCCGAGCTGTCGATCACAACAATATGCCGGTCAAGCTCCGTAGGCGACATCGGCAGTTGATCAGACATCACTTTCCTCATCACCTTGAATCTGGGTACAAGACCCGATCCAATCAAGCTTCTGTTGTACTCGTCCCGCGTACCACGTTCGGGTTGTGGGTTTCTCTATGATTGCATCGGAAAGGATCCTTGTGTGCTCGGACAGCAGATGGTACTGTTAAAAGCAAGAGGGTTGATCTTGCGATATCACAGACAGAAGTCAAAGAAACGCTTGTGCTTTTGAGGCAGCTCGCACGGGACGATGAGCCGGCTGGGGGTTTCATGGGTATAAACTGGTATCCGTGCGTCGTAAAGTTTCCCATTAACATCCAACACACTTGCTACGAACATAGAGAATCTCATAAGCGTATATTATCCCAGCAAGTGGATCCACGAGGTGATAGCGTCAGGTCGAACCATGAAAATCCGGTGTTGTAAAGCATCAAGGCGTACATAGTTAACCGTTTGATCAGCCTCAAATCTTCAGCAAGGTAGACCTCGTTTAGTGGCCCTAGGAACTTCTCCCCGGCCGTCCATGTCTTGGAACCAAATGGCACGAGGCGCGGTAATTCCAAAATGTCTTAGAACTGCCAAGAAGACTGTATCGTACCAGGTTACTGGTCTCTATTCAGCATTAGTGCTCGTGCCAGCTTCCTGATAGTGTGAGTAGATTGTGATAAAAATATTACGACCAAGAAATGCTGCGTTGGCTCCATTACCAATGCGGGAGTTTTGCCTCTAAGTATCAGTGAAGTCTTGTCAACTGGCACGGTCCTCTTCTTCTTCTTTGCTCGGTTCACAACTCTAAATCCAAGTTGCTCCAATCTCTATGTGTCGTCTCGTATTGATCAGATAGGCGCAGCGTGAAAGCCACATCTCTAGCGAGCTGGCGAAAGCTATTTTGGTCAACGTCGCAGCCTATTCGCGTGGCATTTTCCCAGTTCGATCTTGATGACGATCACGACAGGACCCTAAAAGGGCAAACCTGGACATCAGATTGACGATCAAGCGCCACGGGCGGCGCCTCCAGTTTCAGGTACCATCATCAGATCCATCCAATGGGAGTCATTCCCGACTTTTAGATTGACAATCCGCATTTCTGGTGGCGCGCTACAGTATAAGCTAGGTTGCCGTTGAAGTGGGTAGAATAGCAAACTCGACAGATGCTGTTGCTCTTCTTCAATTGCAGTGGCCTCTCCATTCACCCCCGAATTTGGCAATCCCATCCAAGATCAAAATCAAAGATGGACCTGTTGGTGGGGCATCAATCTGTTCTCATCTTGATGACAACTAGATCTGTGCCGGCCGCCCCGAGCCTTAGCCTCCCGAGCAACAAATCGTAACATGGCGTTAGGTCTAGATTCTCAGCTTGAGCCTCTCAGATTCAGTTGACTTCGATCCTCCAAAACCTCTTCTGTCCGTTGCGGTTCAACGTTTCCGAACTAACGTACGTATGCTAGCAGACAATGCCACAAGCGAGCACCCACTACTGCTTTCCAAATAAGCTAAACAGCATGACGTATCCTTAGTCTTGTACAATTGCTTTTGTTGTCTCGTCACCGGAGTGATTTTTTCACCCTCTTAGGCTAATCCTGATGTGTGTGTGATCTGTAGGTGGTGGGAACCATTTCAAAAGCGGTCCAATCTCTTCGTATGAGTGAGAGGCGGCCCGGCGCGGGATGAAACAACCCGTAGCTGTTTACCGTCTTTAAGTTATCTTGACAAACAGGACAACGTTTTGATTGATGTGTCGATCAGTGTGAGAATGAATGGTTAGCGCAAAGCTCCAAACGTATTCCTTGTGTTGGGAGATGATTGTGCAGCTAGCTCGATTGGTGAACCGCAACTAGCAAACTTTCGTCTCTTCCAGCAAAAGTAAATGCCGGAGGCCAACGCTCAAACCACTAACCACACGGCCCTTCTCGTACCATGATTACAGCAGCCGTATAGCAATCGAGGTCCTCGGACTTCGGACAGAGCGTGGTTCATTGGCCAAAGTCGGGATCTCGTAAGGGAAAATAAAAAGTACACTGAATAATCAGACAATTCGTGTTACTCAGTTCCGCCAGGCCCGCAAGTAACCCTAGATCGTAGGTAGCAGGCAGGGGCTCTCTCAACGTTGCATTGGGACCCAGAAGTCCTCGATCTACTCCATAACACAGCATTTCCATCCAGGTGGATGCTTCTTACTCCAAACGGCATATCTTTGCTGTTCCGGCGGTCCGGTAACTCAAGAAGCCGTGGGATTCAGACAGAGGGAAAATGGCCCTGGTCGAAAAGTTTTCCCGTACCAGAAAGCTCTCAACTTGCAGCTTGCATATTCGACTCCAAAAGTGAGACACGGAATATGCATAAAGATGCAGCACTGTGGAACCCTTTTGCAGCAGCGCAGGAAGCTACTATGTAGAGGCAAGAACTTTTTTGATCAAACTTCGTAGCAGAGGTTGATGGCTTGTGTGTCATTTGTACGGTAGCCGTGCTGGGTCTGGAAGAAACGATCGTCCAAACCGGAAGCAAAATGTTCGTTACAATTTCATGTCTCAAAAGAGATCCATCAACGGAACAGCACGGAGGCTGTTGACCGGGCATACATAGGTGACGATTGTCAAGTGGAGACGACGTCGACCAGACAGTATCCTTGTATCTTGTGTGGCTTTCCTTGGGAAGCAAACTTCTCTTGACAACGTTTGTTGTTGCACCTGTTACACGTTCAACCAACCTGCCAACGAGCACCCCGGGGCAAACATAATGCGAGTTGGTGATGTGGATGAAGTTTGCCTCGGCTGGAAGCAGTTGATGGCGATAACGTGATCTCGACCTGCTGCAAGGAGTCTGGAGATGCTGACGTTGAGGTGCAAGGTTGCGAGACATGACCCCCGGCTGTTTAACTTTGTATTTCTAATATCGTGGCCAACTGCTTTGACCCTAGAATATGCACTTCGGGTTCGGGAGGAGCAGAGGCGCGAAGGTGCTGTAATAGTAGTCGATGTTCGTATAGATCGAGCTATCGAACTTTGTGACTAGTATATGTTCAAGAGCTAATGGGTTCAGAGAGCAGCCAGAAAGTAAGTTGTCGCGGGGTTACCAAGTTCCCGATAAGCCGTTGGCATTTTGGATATTTGATCACAGCAGTTGGTCGTCTCATAAATTAGTGGCACAAAATTCATAAAGTTCCGATGTGCGGTGTGGGCGCCTCATACGAAGATCGTTTTATTCATCATAGTTGATGTGAACAACTGTTTGCTATGGTTTCGGCATTGTGCCGAAGTGCCAAGTCGCCGACAGTTGAATAGTCCCATAGTGTAACCCTTTAAAACGGGTGCCACTGCTTTGAATCAGCAGGTCATAACGGCTGTGACTGCGGGGTGTTGCTAATAAAGCATGGATGGTTGATCCATACGTAAGGGCGGATTGTGTACCGTGAGAAGTATATTGAAGGGATGTTGATGGTGTCGTGTGTCCTTTGAGGGCCAACAAGACGTGTAAGATTCTTTCTTGTGGACGAAGGAAGAGAATGTAGCTCGCAAACCAAGACCATATTGGTAAGGTTACAGTCGGGAACGTCAGTAATTGATTAACGTGGGCGGCTGAGGCTAGAGGCAAGGCTGACATTAGATTGTTTGCAGTAGAATAGCAATAGGGTTCAATGACGCCTGCAAATTAAAGACCTGAGCGAGATTGTATTGGTGGGAGCGCGAACGCCCATCCTAAGCCGCGATTGACAGTGGTAAATCGTCCATTAATTAGCAATTGATCGCGTCGTTGTTGTAATCTGCAACCCAGCCGGTATAGCAGGGACGGATATGAACAGGGGTAAAGCCGTCGTTGGTACCGGGGAGGCTTCGCGGAAGCAGGGGTCGTGTACCAGGTGCCAGGGATCAGGCAGCCCTCCCCCTGGCCTGGCAGTTCTGGCAGCTAGCGGTAGGAGGTCCCCTGGCAGAATGCTCGAAAGGGGTTTGATGTCACTAGGAGCTGTGTCTAGCTAAGGTAGCGTGAAGATGAGGGCCCAAGGGCTTTGAGCTGAAGCGGCAGAGAATGGGCAGAAAAGAGGCAAAAAAGCAATGAATGGAACTGAGACCATGCGGTGACCTTGACCTAGACCTTGACCTTGAAGGTGATGCCAATGATCTTCCTTCGGCCCGTCGAACAATGGAGGCTTAGGGGAATCAGGGTCGATTGTTGATCTGTGCTGGGGCTATTGGCCACGAGAGACAAA